GTTTAGGGTTTAGGGTTTAGGGTTTAGGGTTTAGGGTTTAGGGTTTAGGGTTTAGGGTTTGCACTCAGGCCACGAAGGGTGCGTAAATCGTCTAGCATGGAACGAAGAAGGAAATTTATTGGCGAGTACAGGGGACGATCGTAGGGTACTGTTATGGGATATGCATAGTACTAGGGGCCCCCATAGAATGGGTAGGGGCCCCCTAGGTCATGGGGCCCCCCATTCAGGTGGGGGGCCCCCATGGACTGATCGGGGGCCCCTAGAGCTCCTACAGAGGGGCCCCGATGCAGCAGATCGCCCCCTAACGGGGCCCCTGCATAGGGGGGCCCGTATAGGGTACCCTTCACACCTTATAGAGACAGGTAAATAAATTATTTATTTATTTATTTATTTATTTATATTTATATATTTATTTATTTATATTTATTTATATTTATTTAGTTATTTATTTATTTATTTATTTATTTAATAAATTAAATAGTATTTATTTATGTATATCTATATTAGGGTCTCTTCTTTGTCTTATTCAAACATTACTGCTGCTGCTGCTGCTGCTTCTCCTGCTGCTGCTGCTGCTGCTGCTCTTCGTGGTGTTGTTGTTTGCTGCTGCCTTTTCTGCTGCTGTGTGCTGCTGCTGTTGTTCCTTTTGCTTCTCGTACTGCTGCACCCTGCACCCTCATGCTGCTGCTGCTGCTGCTGCATATTCATCCTGCTGCTTCATCCAATTGTTGTTGCTACGTCTGCTGCTGCTGCTGCTGCTGTTGCTGTTGCTGCTGCTGCTGCTGCTGCTGCTGCTGCTGCTGCTGCTGCAGGGCATAGAACTAATGTATTAGGTATAGGGTTTGTAGATGAGGATTCAATCGCTACAGGGGCGATGGATCATGACGTCCGCCTATCTAGTATACATAGAGGAAGTTGCCTGTACGCTGCTGCTGCTGCTGCTGCTGCTGCTGCTGCTGTTGCTGCTGCTGCTGCTGCTGGTGGTAGTGGTGATGGCGGTGGTGGTGTAGTGCAGGTGGGGTTGTTTTTGTTGCTGCTGGGATACTTGTTGCACTTCCTGTTGCTGTTGTTGTTGTTGCTGCTGCTGCTTCATCTTATTGCTGCTGCTGCTGCTGCTGCTGCTGCTGTTGCTGCTGCTGCTGCTGCTGCAGCAAACAATACCAGTGCCATTTGTCTGTTGTACGGCATATCGCAACTTTGCCTCATGGATCGAAGAATTTATGGTGGTCTTGTAGTAGCGATGGTAGGCCTAAACCCTAAACCCTAAACCCTAAACCCTAATTTTTTATTTTTGTGACGGACTCACTAGCTCTTCCCTTATAAACCCTAAACCCTAAACCCTAAACCCTAAACCCTTTTTTTTGTTTTTTCTTTAAGGTACAATTCGTCAATTCGATCAGCGCGAGCCGCACACCTGCAGACGGGACTGTCGTAACGTAAGAAACCCTAAACCCTAAACCCTAAACCCTAAACCCTAAACCCTAGAAAACAAAATTCAGTAGTACATTTAAATTCTAAGAGTGTTTAGGGTTTAGGGTTTTGACATTTCTAGCCCAGAAAATGGTGGTGCCCTATAGGCCTTGGCTCTAGGATAATTTAGGGTTTAGGGTTTAGGGTTTAGGGTTTAGGGTTTAGGGTTTATGGATTGTGCAGGTGTTAATATCCCTGTCTTCTAATTTAAAGGTTAGTTGGAGGGCTGATATCCAGGAGCAGCGCTCGTTAGCACGAAGAGCAACAGCAGCAGCAGTTGCTGCTGCTGCATCTGCTGCAGTGCAGCAGCAGCAGGAGCTACTGGAGGGTTCTGCAGCAGCAGCAGTACTGCAGGCAAGAGCAGCAGCAGCAGTAGAACGACGCCGGAGGCGTAGAGCTCGGCGACAGCAGCATTCCTCACGAGGAGAAGCAGCAGCAGCAGCAGCAGCAGCAGCAGCAGGCGCAGCAGCAGCAGCACCTCCATCAGCAACCCCACCAATGTCAGCAGCAGAAGCATCAGCAGCAACAGCAGCAGCAGCAGCAGCAGGAGATATAGCAGCAAGAAGACTACAATTATATGATATAAGAAGACAAGACGGAGGAATTTTATCACAAGACAGGCTCCTGCTGCAGCAAGCATATTATGAATATAGTTCTCTACGTACAGGTCTCGGTCCTGTTGAGGTATTCTAGGGTTTAGGGTTTAGGGTTTAGGGTTTAGGGTTTAGGGTTTAGGGTTTTGGTTTTGTGTTAGTATATGTAGACTAGATTACAAACAGCAACAAAGACAACAGATGCAACAACAGCAACAGCAGCTACTGTCTGTGATAAATATCTGCTGCTTGTGCTGCTTCTGCTGCTGCTGCTGCTGCTGCAGACGAAGGCCGTAACCATAAACCCTCTAAGACCTGAGTATATTGCTATAGCAGCAAACGATCCTGTTGTTAGGGTTTATGATAGGAGGATGCTCTCCCTTAGTGGTATACGTAGTAGATCTTCATCATCATCAGCATCTGCTGCTGCTGCTGCT